TTGGAGCTTTGTGCTTCTTGTCCTGACCCCACATTTACACTGAGCTGCCTTGAGATTACACTAGAGCCTGCTTTAGTTAGCCCAGACTGTTTACCAATGCACCATCAACAGCGTGGTTGAAACAACCTCATAGTTTTGGAGGGCAGAGAGCCCAAGGGTCTGGGGATTCGACACAGTTAGCCGGGTGCTTGTCTAGGACACACAAAGCCCTGAGTGCAGGCTCTAGCACTGTAGAAAGCAGGTGTGATGGTGCACACTTGCAGTCCCTGCACTTTGGGGGGGGGTGTAGGCAGAGGAATCAGAAGTTCAAGGTCATCTTCAGCTACATGGTGAATTTAAGCTTGGGCTAAATTAAGACCTTGTTCCTCCCACTTGTAAGTCTTTCCCAAGATCAGGGTGATACATGGTGGGGCTTTGAGAAGCTCCATTCCTGGCTTATGAATGTGTTGCTGTCTTCTTCCTGTGTCCTTTCATGGAAGAGTGGAAACTCTAAAACCTTTCCTTTCATGAAAGGCAGCGGTTCTTAGCCTGTAGGTCATGACCCCTTTGGGGCCAAATGACCCTCTCACAGGGGTCACCTTAGATCCTCTGTATACCATATATTTACATTATGATTCATAGCAGTAGCAAAATTACAGGGAAGGAATAGCAATGAAAATAATGTTATGGTTGGGGGTCAGCACACTGTGAGGAACTGTATTAAGGGGTCACAGCATTAGGAAGGGTGAGAACCAGTGATGGGAGGGTACAGATGTCAGTGTGGGTGGCCCTGCTCTCACACCTGAACATGAACATTATTTTTCAAAAGGCCCCACTTCCAGATACTATCACCTTTATAATTAGGGTTTCAACATAAAAGTTTTGGTGGCATGATACACAAACATTCAGTCCAGCCAGGTTTGGTGGTATACACCTATAATCCTAGCCCTTGAAAGTAAGGGCTGGAGAGTCAGGAGTTCAAGGTCACCCTCTGATATGTAGTGAGTTGGAGGCTAACCTGGGCTACATGAGAGTTTTCAACTTCCACCATCAACCCAAACCCCATTCACTCCATAGCAGAGGCTATGTAGAAAATTATATCATATTATCTATTTTAAAGAAAACCACAGTGGCCTAAGTTACTTGAGCCTAAGCTGTTTGAACACTCGTTCTCCTGGTGAAAACAGGCTCATCATCTAGTCTCAGTCATCAAGTGGGATGATTGTCACTCATTTCAGTTCATTTAATAGACATTGGTTAGGTATAAAGAAAGCGCTGTGTGATCTAATGAAGCATTCTGCCTGAAGAGAAAGAAGGGAGATAAGAAAACCTGTGAAACCACTAGAGGACGATATAATACAACAATACAATGACTCCAGACAGTACAAACACAGTCAGAACTCAGCAGAGTGGGCAGGCATAGCAGCCTCCAGAGATCAGGGAGGGACGCTGGCCTTTAGCTGCTTCCTCGAGTCTGCCAAGGAAATCCAGCAGCTGACTGTGGATGAGCTTTATCAAAAGTCCAGCATGTGTCTGGCTGGTTTTCTGTCTCTAGCAGGTCTGATGAACCCCTTTTCCCTTTCAGAAATGTCCACTCCCAGAAATGGGTTGTAGCTCAGTTCACAGAGTGCTTGTTTTCCACCCACAAAGTCCTGGCTTCAATCCCCAGGACCAGATTAAAAAGGGGCATGGTGGCACTGTCTGTAATCCCCAACTCTTGGGAGTTGGGGACAGGAGGATCAGATGTTCAGTTCAAAGCAGCAAGTTGGAGGCCTTCCTGGGTTACACAAGACTATATTAAAAAAATAATTGCTTACTTTTTTTTAAACTCCTTTGAGTGTAGCTGGATTTTGAGCACACAGAGGCTAGCTTGTTTTCAACCTGATATATTTTGATTCTCCTAGTATTTGGAATACTGAGGAGTTTATAACTCATCCCTGAAAAAATTATTTATTTATCTAATTAATTTTAAGCATAGTCTCACTAGGTAGCCCTGGCTGATCTGAGTCTCTTTCTGAGGCTAGGTTGGTCTTGAACTCACAGAGATCCATCTGCCTTTGCCTCCCAAGTGCTGGGATTAAGGGAGTGTATACCACCACACTGGCTCAATAACTATTTATTTATTTATTTATTTATTTTGTTTTTTTTGAGACAGGGTTTCTCTGTGTAGCTTTGGAGCCTATCCTGGAACTTGCTCTGGAGACCAGGCTGGCCTTGAACTCACAGAGATCCATCTGCCTTTGCCTCCCAAGTGCTGGGATTAAGGGAGTGTATACCACCACACTGACTCAATAACTATTTATTTATTTATTTATTTATTTATTTTGGTTTTTCGAGACAGGGTTTCTCTGTGGAGCTTTGGAGCCTATCCTGGCACTTGCTCTGGAGACCAGGCTGGCCTTGAACTCACAGAGATCCGCCTGCCTCTGCCACCCGAGTCCTGGGATTAAAGGCGTGCGCCACCAACGCCCGACAACTATTTTTTTAATAACTTATTTATTTTTATTGTATGTGCATTGGTGTTTTACCTGTATGTATGTCTGTGTGAAGGTGTCAGATCTTGTAGTTACAGACAATTGCGAGCTGCCATGTGGGTGCTGGGAATTGAACCTGGGACCTCTGGAAGAACCGTCAGTGTTCTTAACCGCTGAGCCAACTCTCCAGCCCTCAATAACTCTTTTATATCAAGTTCTTTATAAACAAATATTTATATCTTTTATATGAAGTAGGTTCTTATTTGTTTCCTTGAGACTAGGTCTCATTATATAGCCCCAACTGGCAATGAATCCCTATGTAGCTGAGGCTGGCCTTGAGCTCTGATACTCCTGCCTGCTGGGATTACAGATATGAGCACCATTCCCAATTGAAGTAGTTATTTGGATGTGTTTTCTTTGTTCATCCTTTCACACTGCATTTCCCAATATGATTTGAGTGGAGACTTTTGGAACCGTCTGTAGTTTTCTTCTGATGAATCTTTCTACTCAAAAAGGGCACCAGAATACTTATCTTTACTTTATGTTATTAAAATTACTTGATGGAGTCCTCAGTTACTACACATTAAGGCTGTCAGTGCTTAGCACAGTAAAGGTGTGCCCTTAGGAAGCACTAAGGAAAATGATCAGGCACCCAGGAGTGGGGCCTCCATAGTACTTGAGGAACCTCACTTAGAGGAAGACGGAACGGGGAAAATGTCAGAGTTCACCTTGCCTGTGCATAGGCCACAGGAAACATTTCATGTCCGGAGCCTTTTCCTGAGAGAAATGGCACTAAGAATTTGCTGGTTCAAATATCACCATATTCTAGTTGATATAACTTGCCACCACAGCTGACTGTCATTTTATCTAAGGGCCATCCCCCTAGAGGCTAGACCAATGGTTTCCAAAGTGTGACCCTGGTCAGGCATGTTGGTGCACAACTGGAATCATGGCACCTGAGCAGTAGAGATAGAAGAACCCATGGTTTGAGGGCAGTTTAGGCTACCTGAGACCTTGTATAAAAAACAGGTCATCTCAAGATCAGAAACATCAACATTGTTAGTTCAAAAGCAGGCCCCCCCAAATGGCAGTGCTGCTGACAATGGCCTAAATGACAGTCTGGCTCAGCTCAGGCTGGATTCTGACCAGGTAAACAGGAAGATTTCCAGTAAATAAACAAAAGCTTGAACTCAGAATTTCTCGGAGACTTTGGGAAGTGGGTTTCTGTTTGCCAGGAAAAGCCATCACTTCCCTTATCTACCGCTACAGCTAACTATCTTGAGCAACGGGGCATCCAGCTCCCTATTAAACAGCCTGCAACAGATCCAAGTCCCCAGGCTGTCCTGGCCCACAAGCCATCCACTGCTGTTCTAACTCCCAGCTGTTCTTGCTCACAGTCTCCTTAAAACTGGCTGTTCACTCTGTGTTCCACCCCCAAGAGGCAGCCCTGGCAGTTTGAATTACCCAATAAAACTTTATTTCTAGCCATGGAGTGGTCTAGTTCATTGCTTTCACTGTGCCCTTGCTTACAAACATCACTTGGGAATTTGTTAGAAATGCATTATCATTGAACCCCTACTGGAGGTGTACTGAATCAAACATTTGGGGGTAGCCTATGTTTTCATAAGCCTTCCAGGTTGTTTCATGCTCAAATTTGAGACACTTGGGTCTAGTGGCTTATGAGGTGGCCTATAGATTACTAGCTAAATCTCAAGTGTGTATACTGACAGTTGATAGGTGTAAGGTAGGTAGATGGAAGTGGACATAGACCTGGAGTTGCCAGATGGGCGCAGGGATATAGATGACAAGAGGCTGTAGAAGTTGGAAGTTGTCTTAGCTGTGGGGTAAAGATGAAGTGAGATGCTGCTTGGTGGTAGATGAGCTAGAGAAGCAGGATACCCTAGTTATCACACCTGTGGCATGTCAATGGACATAGCTGCTAAGGAAAATATGGCTACCTAGGTTCCTTTGTTGCTGCTGCTGATTTGCTACTGACTAGCTCTGCAACTCTACTTGAGTGACTTGAAGTTTCCTGACACACAAATTCCAACATAGCCAAATAGTTTGTCTCACTTGCATCATGATTTGGCTTCATGTACAATGTATGTTAAATCCGTGTGTGTGTGTGTGTGTGTGTGTGTGTGTGTGTGTGTGTGTGTGTGTGTTGTGTGAACTAGAAAAATTTCTATAAACTGAAATAACAGAAGTTGAACTTTAGTTTCATAGAGGAACAAAAATAAAAACAGTGGGTGGATTTCTTGCCTAGTGGTTTGACTTCTTTTTTAACAGAAGCAACCAAAATGTATATTTATAGTAAGGCTTCCATATCCTTTGTTTACCAAAGCTGGTAAAAAAAATGTGAAATACAATAAAATTGCACTTTACTGTGGACTGAATCATGACTCTGGCAGCTCATATGTTGGAGCCATGCCTCCCATGTGATGGTATTTGGAGATGGGGTGTCTGGGAGATAATTAGGTTTATATGAGGTCAGAGTGAGATTATAAAAATACGACACAGAGCCTGCTCTTTCCCTGCCATGTGAAGACCCAGAAAGAAGGTAGCTGTCTGCACACACTGAAGCAAGCTCTTCCGTGAACCTGCCAAGTCCTCAAACCTCTTAAACTGGGAAACCAGCTCCTGTTGTTTCATTGTCCCAGTCGATGGTGGTACCCTGTTGTGATAAGTTGGATTTGGCAAAGATACACTCCATGTGACGATGTCACAGACTCCTGGTCTATGACAGGTAAGTTGTTACAGTTATACATCAGGCCTTAATTTTTTTTTTACTACATACATCAGAATATGAACATGTTAATGGCCCCAAATTTCATAGGCTCCTTTGAGTAAGTAAACTTTTTCAAGACCTAGCACTCCTTCTCTAAGGAAGACTAGAGACCTAGTTGCTTTTGGAAACTATTTCTGTAGCATGCTTTGGTTTTTACTTGTATCTTTTAAATCTCACTGCAGATTTTTTGAAGCTCAAGCTGTTACTTTGTTTTCTTAACCTTAGAAACAAAGCCCTTTTATACTTTCTTGAGTCATGCTTTTATTTTATTTATTTTATTTATTTTTTTTGAGACAGAGTCTCAATATATAGCCTTGTAGAGGCTTGAACTTGAACTCACTTTGTAGACCAGACAGACGGGCCTCAAACTCATAGAAATCACCTGCTTTCGCTGCCCAAATGCTGGGATTAAAGGCATGAGCCACACCCACCCACATATGTGTGGGTGTTTTGCCTACATATATTCCTGTGTACTATGTGTGTGCAGTGCTCACAGAGTCCAGAAGAGGGAATTAGATTCCTTGAACCTGAAGTTATAGACAGTCACCTGCTGTGTGTGCTGACAATCAAAGTCAGGTCCTCTGGAAGATCAGTGCTCTTAGTCACTGAGCCACCTCTGAAGCTCCTTTATTTATTTATTTATTTATTTTTTTATCTTTGGTTTTTTGAGAGAGGATTTCTCTGTGTAGCCCTGACTGTCCCGGAACTCACTTTGTAGACCAGGCTGTCCCAGAACTCACAGAGATCCGTCTGCTGGAATTAAAGGAATATGGCACCACTGCCTGGCTAAAATTTCTCTTGAATTGCTTTTACATCACCAGGAAAAGCTTCTTCCCCATCTTGGTGTGAAGAACACACGAACCTGGGCATTGCCAGTAAGCCAAGACCACATGGTGATACACAGATTAATAGAAATGGGTTAATAATTAGCAGAGAGCTAGCCAATAAGAAGCCCAAGTCATCCTCCAAACAGTTTATAATTAATATAAGCTTACAGCCTGAGGAGTGGTAAGCTTTGTCTGGAAGAGCTAGATATCAAGTCATAAGCTTCTAAAGCAGTGTTTCTCAACCCGTGGGTCTCGACCCACATAGGGGTTGCCTATCAGATATTTGCACTGTGATTCATAACAGTAGCAAAACTACAGTTACAAAGTAGCATCAAAATGATTTTATGGTTGGGGGGTCAACATAGCAAGAGGACCTGTATTGAAGGGTCCCAATGTCAGGAAGGTTAAGAACCATTGTTCTCAAGAATGAAGCTTATGTCCCTATTAGCCGTGGAAAAGGAGCCAAACTGAACCTTATTTGAGACACTGGTTTGTGTCTCAAAAAAAAAAAAAAAAAAAAAAAAAAAAAAAAAAAAAAAAACCAGTTGTGGGGAAGTAAAAGTTTATTTTGTTTTTATTATTATTGTTTATTAATAATAGTTCACAATTATTCCTGGATTCCTGGGATGTGAATGGGCCACAGCTTTGCCATTCAATGTATGTTCCCATCCAAGACTGACCAAACACACTTCAGCTAAGTACTATGGCTGAGGTATTTACTTTGAGTAAGGCAGAAGGCAGAAGAGTTGAGAAGCATGATAAACTAAAGTACCAAGTGACTCATGTCTTTAGAAATATGGTATCTAGGTGTACAGGATCTATGGATTTATATTTCTGATTTAAAGAAAATTAGACTTATTCTTGTTATGTATGGCTGGACACATTCATTGAAGTCTAGAAGGTGTTAGCAGCTTATAGGCTCATCTTGTACTACAGTGCCACCTATGGGCCACTCTTGGGAATTACGCTCAGACATTAACCCACTGTAGTCCTTTGGATATGTACTAGAACCCCAGGGTTTCAGAGGTTCTCGGAGTGGTCAGCAGAGTCAAGTTTATCTCCAATTCCTGAGTCACTTTTTGCTTTGTGTTGATCCCAGAACATTAAATCTTCAGCTATATTCCCGCTTCTCCTCCTACTCTCTCTCTCTCTCTCTCTCTCTCTCTCTCTCTCTCTGTGTGTGTGTGTGTGTGTGTGTGTATTGATGTGTAGGTTCACAAGAATAGGTGTGTCTATATGTGTGCATGTGTGAAGGTCAGAGGGACGATTTCAAAATCCCTCAGATGCCATCCACTTTTTTTTTTTGGCTTTTCGAGACAGGGTTTCTCTGTGTAGCTTTGGAGCCTGTCCTGGCACTCACTCTGTAGACCAGGCTGGGCCTCGAACTCACAGAGATCCCCCTGCCTCTGCCTCCCAAGTGCTGGGATTAAAGGCGTGTACCACCAATGCCCTGCCACTTTTCTTTTTTTTTTTTTTGAGACAGTGTCTTTCACTGGTGGAACTCATTAGGGATCGTCTGGATGGCCACAGAACCCCAGCTATCTGCCTGTCTTCAAGTCCCTAATGCTGGGACAACAAGCAGGCATGGCCATGCTTAGCATTTCTTGCCTGGGTTCTGGAAATTAACATCATGTCCTCATGCTTTCAAGGCAGGTGCTTTTATGACTGAATCTATCCCCTCAGCTCCTTTGATTCCTTTTTAATTTCAACTTGAGACTGGGTCTCACTAAGTTGCTTGGCTGTACTTGAACTTGCTGAATAATTCAAGCAGCCTTTGAACTTGAAACTCGCTGTATTAGCTTTCCAAGAAGTTGGGATTGTAGGTGTGCCTGACCACACCCAGGTTCTGAGTCACTTTTATTACAGGTTTGATTTGTAGTTGTCTAATTCTGTTTGGACCTCTTGGATGAACAGAAACAGCTCTGCTCAGCCTCTTGTTCTATTGCAGAAGGTCCCTCTTGCCCCAGAGTCTATTCCAAGATTCCCAATGGATGCTTGAAATCAGACCATTGTAGTACGGATGTTAAAAACCCAGAGACAGATATTGGGGTTCAAGCTGGATATTAGAGAAGCAAAGCAGCCAAGCTACCAGAGAGCTCTTACCTCTACTAAGGCTGGGGAGATCCTGTCCTCAATGTGGCTGGAGACAATTGCCCAAGACTAAATACTGAATGCCCTGTTCCTATCTTATACACCTCTCTAGTGCTGGGACTAAAGGCATGATCTGTTTCTCTTTTAGACTGATTCACTCTCATGTAGCCCTGGGTTTCCTTGAACTCACAGAGATCTCTCTGCCTCTGTCTCTTGAGTCTTGGGATTAAAGGTGTGTGCCACCACCATCCAGCTTCTATGGCTGTGGCTAGCTTTGCATTCTGATCTTCAGGGGCTTTATTAGATCATAAAAATATATTATATGTATCTATCCATCTTATGCACACACAAATTCAATCCTCTTCTTGTCTTTTTGTTTGTGGTGTGTGCATGTGTGTGTACCTGCATGGACAGAGACCATAGGTCCACATCAGGTGTATCCTCTGTCACCCTCCATTTTAACTTTTGGAGATAGAGTCACTCACGGAACCTGGAGCTGACCTTTTTAGCTTGCTGGTTGGCTATCAGTCCCAAGCATCAATCTGTCTGCATGTCCTAGTGCTGGGGTGACAGATACCTGCTGTTGTCTCTTTTAAATGAGTGTGGGGATCCGAACTTGTGTTCTCATGTTTGTTCAACAAATCACTTTATACACTGAGACATTTCCCTAGCTCCAACCTTTGTTTGTTTTAACTAAGCATTTATCACACACTGGGGCCATAACTTGTGCTGTTTGAGTTGTGACAGCAAAAATAAAAGGCACCCTCCCCCCCAGTTTCACAGAAAAAAAGAGTCACTCCTACCATAACCCAACTTCCTTCTCCTATTGAGGATGCCTATTTTTCTGCTTGCAGGGGAAGTGGGAAATTTCCCCTCTAGTCTCTTAAGGGTCAGTGTAGGCAACTGAAAAAGACATATTAAATGGCGAGAGAGTTACATAGATTTAGTCCACAAGAGGAGGCAGTCACGTAGCGTTATCACCTGTGACCTAAAATGATTCAGAGTGTGGAGCACAGGTGTTTTGAGAAGTGATAAGTTATTGTGGGGGTAACTCAGTGGATTAGGGGACCATACAATGGCCTGGGCAGTCTATGTCGCTGGCAGAACAGACAATAGTATGGATGTGATTCTTTTTTGAATACTGAATGGGACTAAAATAGAAGATGACAACGTGAGACAAGTGTCCAAGTGTCGGGAAGACTTCAGCCTTCCTTCCTTTATGTGAATGACAGGTGGTCTGATATCTGGCTGGCTATTGAGTCACTAGGGGTGGCAACTGTGTAGGTGGTACGGCTACCAGGGATAAGCTGCTTCCCAGTTAGGATGGAGCAAGATGGAAAATGATATTCAAAACAGTGTGCAATTAAAAACTTATGAGTTGTTTATTTTTGGAGTTTTTCATTGTCTATTGTTGGACTAGGGAACTGAAATCTCTAAGAGCAAAACCATGAATAAGGGTGTGTGTGCTGCTCTGTGAGGTCCACCCACATTCGATGTTCGACTTGCTTCAATGCTCTCCTCTGCAGTAGGCGGGGAGAACCCAGTCTGGTCCTCCAGGATCCCTGGGCATGAGTTGGCCGATTCTTATTCAGGTTCCTGTTCTTAGGCATTGTTTTTGAGATGGGTTCTGCTAGCTTAGTTATTAGGTACTTTCTGAGTTCTGTAGTGTTCCTATCTCTTGTTCTGTATGCTTCTTTTCTCATACTCCTTATTTTTAGATATTTACACACTTTCTTTCTCCAAGAAAATTCATCTGTTGTCTACCTAGTAGGTTTCTGGAAGACAGAAAATAATAAAAGTAATAAATTAACCCCACCCAGTTGATCTATAAGCTTGGTCATTTCCTTTCTTCCTCCCCCCCCCTCCTCCTCCTCCTCCTCTTCTTCTTCTTCTTCGTCTTCTTCTTCTGAAACTCTTGGTATCTGACTATGGCTTCCTATTGCTGTCTCTGACTTAATTATTAACCCATAACTACTAATCCATGTATTTCCACATGGTCTTGGCTTACCGGGAATGCCAGATCTGCAACTCTTTTGCCTGCTACATCTCTGCAGAGAAGAGAGAAGAGCGTGGCTTTCTGTTTGTCCCTGCTTATATTCTGATTCTGCCAAGATACATCACTTCCTGCCTGTCTGTACAGACCTCCAGAACTCTATGGTTAGATGGTGGCAGTTTCTGCCCAGCTACGTCACTTCCTAGGATCACATGATGACTCCTCTCTGCCTACACTTCCCAGAATCCTCCTCATATCCTAGCCCCAAGGCTTGGTCATTTCTTAATAACTACATTCTTAAGCATGAAAACTTTTTAGTGTTGGACTTTTATGTTAATTTCAATGAAAAGTTTTGGGAAATTTGGCTTATTGTTACAGCCCCTGGATCTTAATCCTCCCCTTGATATCTTGGCTTCCTTTCCTAGCCATCAAAAAGTGCATAAGAAGCCAGATGCCTACTCAGCTGTTGCTCAGTGAATGGCTCAAAGCTGAAGATAGAATCCCATGACACTGATGCTCTGGGTTTGTGTGCACTCATAGTTAGCATCTATCTTGGTGATGAACAGGGACACCACTTTCCTCTGTCTTGTCTATAGATGAATATTTCTATCAAGTGCTGGGTTTAAATGCTTCATGTGAGTGTGGATGGCTTTTTCTGACTTGGTAGTTTGGCAGAGATTGGCTAAAAAGGCTACAGGGCTGGAGAGGTGGTATAATGGTTAAAAATACTGGTTGCATTCTTTTAGAGGACCTGGGTTCAATCCCAGGCATCTACATGGTAGCTCACAACCACCTGTAACTATGGTTCCAGAGGAATCTGATGTCTTCTGGCCTCCATCAATGCCAAGCACGTGTGTGGTACATCTATCTATCTATCTATCTATCTATCTATCTATCTATCTATCTATCTTCGGCAAAACATCCTTATACATAAAATGAAACAAAATTTAAAGAAGGGACATGATGTCAATTCTTCTAATCGTGATTTGCCCTCTATTTATTTGTTTTTTTTTTCCATTTAAGGTAATGTGTGAAAATTGCATTACCTACTATTTTTCTCAGTTTCTAGGAGATTTGCTCTGTTGTATTTTGAGACAGAGTCTCATGTAGCCCAGGCTAGCTTTGAATTCCTGATCCTCTGCCTCTGCCCCCATGGTGCTGTATTCCAGGTGTGCACCATCACACTGGGGTCTCTAGGGTTCTTTTTTTTTTTTTTTGTTTTTTGAGACAGGGTTTCTCTGTGTAGCTTTGGAGCCTTTCCTGGCTCTTGCTCTAGAGACCAGGCTGGCCTCGAACTCACAGAGATCTGCCTGCCTCTGCCTCCTGAGTGCTGGGATTAAAGGCATGCGCCACCAATGCCTGGCTCTAGGGTTCTTTTGGAATAATAAACAGCAGCTCATTTTCTCACCATTGATTTCTGTTTGAAACTGGAATGTCACTTGCCACATCTGGGAGCTTTCCACTGATACTGCTGCTCTATTGTTTCTTTCCTAGGTTGAGCCTTTAGGTCTTCTGCCTGGAATCTTGTGTGGCTGTTTTCTGTCCAGTGATCTTTCTCCATGGCATTCTTGCAAGCTAACAGGTAGGAGCTGAGGTTCTCTGGCTAAATTGTATCCATGTGGTTATTTACTTTCCCCTTCTCTGTCCTCATGACTGTCCTCAAACAGTCCTTTAAGTCATGCTCAACATTCAGAAGTCTGTAGCTGACCACTTAGGTTTACAAGGAAGGAATTATGTGTTATTCAGCAGTCCTGAGCTTTTTTCCCCCCTGCCCTCTGCCTTGAGACACTGGTTCTCATAACTTATTAGAATGAAGAGTACCCTGGCCTGAGAGCACTCCCACCTCTCTTCTGTATGGATGTGGGGGTGTAGTCAAGAGAATGGGGTGAGCTTCACGAAAAGCAGAATTTAAAAGAACAAACCAATGGTTTAAAAAAAAATCCCAAAAACCAAAACCACTCTAAAAACTGTTTCTTGTAGGTTGGGGCCATTAAAGAACAAAACATTTAACTTGGCTGAGTGTTTTAATTTGTAATGTTCCAGATTCGTGATGTTTCCTCTATGACAGTCTGGGGCCTCTTAAGGTCTTACCTCTGCTCTGACCCTGGTTACTGGGGTGGGGGATGTGGAGGAGCATGGCCAGCTGTGACCCCTGGGGTCCTCTGTGTGGAAGGAAGAAAGGCTTTGCCCTTCCAATGGTTCTTACTGGGACTTCGGTCTAGGAGGCATGTTAGCCACCAGTGTTCTCTGGGAGCTCATTATCCTCACTGTCCAGGCTGTTGTCCCATCCTGGGGCCCCTCTGCAGTTAGAAGGTTTCTTACTTCTTATTTATCGTTACATTATTCTTCTGTACATTTATGGATGTGTTTTCTTCTTCTTTCTACTGAACAGTCCTGGTCTTTACGAAGTGGCTTTTTATTGGGCTGGAGGACTGTAGTGTAGGCTTTGTAAGGGTTAGAGTGGAATTCTTGCTTCCCAAACCATAGATTAAATTTACACGCAGGGAGAAAAATATTTGCCCGGTGCTTCATAGCTCCATTAAATTACCTGCTTTGACTAAATGCAGGTGAGATCTGATGTAACTCGGCCACACTAGGGTGTCAGATGGATTCATTTTGCCTCTCTAGATCATCTTCCAGTTCTGGAAGGCACTCTGCATGGACATCAAAGCCACCTGTGTTCTCTGGCTTTCAGCAGGACATGAAAGGATGAAGGAACACTGGGCTGGGCGTTTATTTCTGCAGTGAGGTGGCCGCAGGCTGACATGTCTCTCAGCAGTCATTGCTCTTGTCAAGGTAGCTCACTCAGTTTTCCCGTCTGTATCTTTAGTCCGCAGTGAGCCTTCTTGGCCTTTTGGCGATAGTGCCAGATGTACCACAACTATTTCTTCTTAGTACTCACACCCTATTACTAACACCTCTTCCAAATTTCGTTTGTTCTTTGATGTGTGTGTATGTGTGTGACTTTGATATGGAAAGTTTAAAATTCTGAAGGAAGAGGTTCTACTGTTTTAAATTTGAATGAATTATATGACAAAACAGTCTTGTACACTCAAGGACTGAGTAGGCTTTGGGTACAAAGTATAGAAAAAGGATCAAAGATAAAACATATTTAATCATTTTTTTTCATGTAAATTTTATTTTGGTGATGGGCTTGAGCCCAGCACACCACACATGCTTGGCAGGAGCTGTCCCATAGAGCTAGGTGTCCTCAGCGCATAACCATGATTTTAGGTCAGAAAATCAAGAGGAAACATTTGGTTTTCTTCTAAGAAAACCTCTATTACTGAATGTTATACTTCAAAAAATGGTTACTGATATCTAACGGTTTTCAAAGTGTTGATTCTGTTGCTGTGATAAGCACAGGGGATGAAAGGATTTATTGCATATTATAACTCTCAGGTCATAATCCATCACTGTGGGAAGTCAGGACAGGAACTCAAGGCAGGAACTGAAGCAGAGGCCATTGAGAAATGCTGCTTATTGGCTTTCTCAGATTGCTGTCTTCTACAACCCAAGAATCACCTGCCCTGAGGGTTACACCACTGTGAGCTAGATTAATCATTAATCAAGACAATGCCCCATAGACTTGCTTATAAGTCAGTCTAATGGAGGCATTTTCTCAATTAAAATACCCCCTTTCAAAATGACTCTAGCTTATGTCAAGTAGGAAAATAGAAACAAAAACAAGACAAAACAAAAACAGCTACCAGGACAGTTGGTAAAATTCTGCTACCTCTGCTTCTTCTTTTTTTTTGTGATAAACCATCTATCAATCTATCTATCTATCTATCTATCTATCAATCTATCTATCTATCTATCTATCTATCAATCTATCTATCTATCTATCTATCTATCATCTATCTAGTAATCTATCTAGCATCTATCTATGTATCTATCATCTATAATCTATCTAGTGTGTGTGTGTGTGTGTGTGTGTGTGTGTGTGTGTGTCTGTGTGAGTGTGTGTGTATACATACCATGCTATGGGGTGCGTGTGGAGGTCAGGAGTTGGTTTTCTCCTTCCTCCATGTGAATTCTGGAGATCAAATTCATGTTGTCAGGTTTGGTGGCAAGTGCTTGCTGAGCCATCTTTCAGCCCTCTGCTGATATATCTTAAACAAACGGATAGTTTCTAGAACATGTAATGGACTCCAATAAATCAATATGAGAGAGAGAGAGAGAGAGAGAGAGAGAGAGAGAGAGAGAGGCAAAGAGGCAAAGGTATAAATAGACAAGTCATAGATGGAAACTTTATATGGGAAGATGCTCAACCTAGGAATGTGGAAAATGTAAACTAAGTAAGATAGTGCTTCATGTTCATTAAAATGGCAAAAAGTCATATAATTGTCTGGGTGGAAGTGTGAATTGGCACAACCACTTTGGAAAGTAATTTAGCAATATTTTGTAAAGCTGAAAGTAAGCATAATATAGCATCCAACAATTCTATTTCCAGGTATCCATTGGTTGAGGAATGCTGTTTTGTGCATGTACACTGGGAAACACTTACAAAGATATATATTGCAGTAGTATTTGTGAAGGAGGAAAATGAGAAATAAGCCAATTATCCATCAAAAGAAGAATGTTAGAGTGTGTTAATATGATAGAATGATGTGTCAAGAACAAAGGCAAAATATCAATCAGCAAATGAATGTTTTAAATAGCAAGATGTAGAACGATGTTGATAGTATTAGCTCCAACTTCTCGTGTGTGTGTGTGTGTGTGTGTGTGTGTGTGTGTGTGTGTGCAGTTTGGGCATGTGTGAACCACAGTGCGTTTGTGGATGTCTGCGAATGACTTTTGGGAGTAAGTATGTGCCATCATGTGCTATCCACTGTTTTGGACAAGGTCTTTCTTGTTTCTGTTGCTGACCTGCATATTCCAGGCTAGCTGGCTCATGAGCCTCCAGGAATCTCTCCTGGGTTTCCCTTCTATCTCTCTGTAGGAGTGGTGAGCTTACAGATGTGAGCCACCAGAATCTTGTTTTTCCTGTGTTATCAGACAAGGGTCTTTTATTTGCTGAGCAATCTTCCTGGCTTCTCTTCCCAAAGTAATAACTCTAATTTACATTTGTGAGAGTGCTGAATTCTAGCCACTAGACCACCAGGGATCAGGTTTTAGTTTACATTTGAAATCCTATCTCTTCTTATGCTAAGAATGTCTTTTTTTTTTTTTTTTGCCTCTTTCTCATCCTGTGAGTTTTGGGACGATGTCTCTGCTTTAGGCCCACATTGCCAAAGACAGTCTGTAAATTGCTAAAATCTCAGAGTTAATTGGCTGCCATGAGAATGAAAAGTGGTTTATTCAAGAGTAAAACATTCTTTTACTCAAGGACATGAAGAATCTTTGCAAATTTTTTTTTCCAGTGTCTGGGAAGTTACCCACAAGTCCACTGATGGGAGGTGATAAGTTCAGAATCCCTGGTTAGTTGCTGATGTAATAAGCCAATCAAATCGAACTATTAAATCCAGGTTTAATGAACAGAGCAAAGCAACTCCTGGGTGATCCTCAGGAGGGTAGGAGTGGAATCATATGGCAAATATGGCTACCAGGTCTTAAATAGCTTAATAGGCGTGGTCTTGAGCAGCCTCCAGGGGATGAATAGACCTTTGGTGGGCTTTCTGAGGGGAGGGGCTACTGCTTGGTGGTCTTTTGGGGGGTTTGGAATAGGAGGAGTGTGGAATGGGGCCCCTAGCTGGGGATCCCTTAAAGGAGGTGTTGTGCCCAAATTCTGAACCCCCAAATCACCAAGAGACCAGATCCAATGCAAAAGCAAACTGTTTTTAATAATTAATGATTATTAAATTAATATGATTTAATAATTAACTGTATTAACTTGGGTCCTCTGTCCCTTTGACATCGAGGATGGAGAGAGAAGAACCTGGAGCAGGGAATTTATTGGGGTAGAGCAAGGGGAGTGTCTAGGGGCCTGCAAGTCTCAGGATTGGTGCACTTCTGGGCTTGGATGACCTGTCCTGTGTTGATTGGTCAACTGGTTGCTATGGCCTATAGGCCTTCCCAGGGCAGTTGCTATACTCTGCACCTCACTGTTACCTTAAAGCACATCCAAAGCCTGCCAGCTAACTTCTGATTGGTTCTTTGCTACATGGAGGGTATCTGGTTTCCTAGGCAATGGAAGGCTGGGCAAGGTCAAGAACTTAGCACATGTGCTGAGTCAGAGGCCTACATCTTTCTGGGTCTTTTCTGCAGCCTGTTATGGCTGCCAAATCAGGGGGCTGGATGAGGGTCTGGTTCCTTCAGAGGAAGGGAGAACATCTTCCACCAACCAAGAGGGCACTGAGAGATTTGTTTCTTATTACGTTAGCACACTGTCATCCAGTTAGCCCTTTTCATAATGAATTTCAGTGTTTGCAATCTCATAATGTTAATTCTGAGATTCACTCTAGAAAAACCAGTTCCACCATTTTGGCCAAATGATGCTTTTAGTAAAATATGAAATAATAACTAAGATTGAATTTGGTCAGGACAATCCATCTCAGGTGAACTGCCCCTAGACACATGTTGTCTGGGCTTATATGGCCAAAACCCATGGGCCATCGTACTTTCCCAGGAGGCTTTGTTGTTATTTTTCCAGAACTACAACTCTCAGAATTCTAGGAAGTTACCTGGTTGTTGGCTGGTGAGGCAGGTAGAGCTTATAGGTTAACTTAGGGTCAAACAGTAACTCAACTTGTATGCTACTTCCTGTGTAATTCCTCCATGTTTCTGTTTAATAGCAATCCATTCTTATTCCTAGTTCTCAGAATAGGCAGGCACCACAGGACAGCCTACCCATCACTGATGCCATCGCCATGGGGCTCCTGAGACAATGAAGCTTCTTGGAAGAGGTTAGCAGCACCATATGCTTTGGCTTGCCAACCATAAACAGCCTGTTATTTGACTCTCCCAGTATATTATTCTTTGTGAGTGACATTTCTTCTGGTCTGCCCCCAACAGGGTGTGTTCAGTTAGGTAGTATCAAAAACAACAACAAAAAAGTTCCTTGTCTGCTAACTGCTAATTTAATTAGTAGCTTCAGAGTTAGGCAGCTCTTTCTCACCTCCATGTTGAACTAGATCTCTAAACCCAAATGTCTCTCTTTGCTTCTTCTCTTTTTGAACTTGGAGGCCACCACAAGGTGTTGTGCCCAAATTCTGAAACCCCAAATCACCAGGGGATCCATTCCAATGCAAAAAGCAAAACATCTTTTATTATTTAATGAGCTAACTGTCTTAACTTGGTTCCCTTGGGCATCAAGGGTCTGTAAGGCAGGGAATTTATTGAGGGGAGCAAGGGGAGTGTCTAGGAGCACACAACAGTCTCAGGATTGGTGCACTTCTGAGCTTCAGTGACCTGTCCTGTGTTGATTGGTCAACTGGTTGTTATAGCCTATATGCCCTCCCAGGGCAGTTGCTATGCTCTGCGTGCCACTGTTACTGTAAAGTACTGAAAAGCACGCCCAGAGCCCGTCAGCTAACTTCTGATTGGTTCCTTGCCACATGGAGGGTATCTGACCTCCTAGTGACTGGGGCAGGTCCAGCAAGGTCAGAAACTAAGCAACTTGTGCTGAGTCAGAGGCCTACATCTTGTTGGGTCTTTTCTGCAGTCTGTTATGGCTGCTAAAGCAGGGTGTGGGTCTGGTCCCTTCAAAGTGAGAAGGAATCCTTGCAGCCAAGTTCATGATTCTGTGTTGATTCAGAACCATGAATCTTTCCCTTTGCCCAACTTTCTGATTCTGAAGAACAGAGAGGCCCAGGGCCATTAAGAGATTTCTCCAGTAACTACCGTATTATTTTTTAAAGCACATAGCTGTCTTAACTTTTACACCACAGGAGATGTGTGATCAGAGATGAAACAGCTGGTCTGGAGCCGCACAGAGAGCTGGGACCAGAGCTGAGGTATGGAGCCGGATCTCCTGCTTTCCAACTTGGTGCTTCTTGTGGATACCCCATGGCTTCTGGGCGTGTCTGCTCTCTAGCTCGTCATTTTACTTTTCTGCCTATCTGCGGTGGCCTAAAACTCTACTGCCATAGCACACACATTCACAAGATTAAATTGTTTTTGCTATTTGAGAAAACACACAGTGTAATACTAAAACGGCACAAGAGGGCACACACTTGCAATAAAAGTCTCCTTCATCCTCCTGTCCTTCAGCTTTCCAGTTCATTCTCTCTCTCTCTCTCTCTCTCTCTCTCTCTCTCTCTCTCTCTCTTTCTCTCTCTCTCTCTCTCCCTGCTTGCCTGCCTGCCTGTCTCTGTTGCCCACTCCCACCCCACCCCAGTTTCTTGCTTGTCCTCTCTCTGTGTGTCTGTCTCTCTCTGTTGTGCCCCTCCTCCCCAGTCTGAGTCAGATATGCTAAGAGAAGGCAACACACATGCCTATGTGCACTTGTAATCAAAAAAGGGAAGCATACTGTGCTTGCATCTCCAGCTTTTTAAGCATCTTAGATACTTGGGATATCCACTGTCATCAATAAACATAGAAATGACCCCTCAGCCAGCCATGACACATGCCTGGAGGGTCTAAGTTAAGTCCTTACAGGCCTTCCAGCCAGTTAAGAATGGAAATTGGCCCTGAATCTGGTGTTCTGGGTTTGGGGCTGTAAAGACAGAGATCCAGAGGCCAGGGGCCAGCTGGAGTTTCCCAGCTTGTCACATACAAAGGTAAATTGTGTTGGGAACAGAGCTGTATTCCCAAAGATAACAAGGCACTGAAGTTTTGTAGCTCATGAGACTGATGAATGCCTCCCTAGCAGCTAACTAGATAGTTAAAATGTGGAAAGGCAGTGATTGCATTTAAATGTGTAAAAATGAGATTTTGAAGTTTCCAGAGAGGAACTATTGGAAATGTCTGTGCTGGAAATGTGCTACATTAGTTATGGTCAAACCATGAACAGAATAGTAGGAGGCTGTTAAATGAACACATTGGATCCATATACACACACATGGAATCCTGCCCGGGAAGTCAATACATGGAAAACTCAACCTAAGGGACAGTGGGTAGGTGTCTTAGGTTGAGATCTCTGAAAGCAAAGAGAGATGTTGCAGGAGAGGATTCTTTTTGGCAAAGAGTGGGAGCATGATAGGGTATGGGGTTCTCTATAGCACATAGTAGCAATGAGCCTCAGTAAAACTCACAGAGGCTGAGAGCAGAATGCACTAGCTAGAGGTGGGCTGAACAGTCTTGACAGCAGCCACTGCAGCAGGCATACCACGTGTGACTGCCATGTGTGTACTCCATCTGCTGGCACAGGCTGGAAACCCTAAGAGTAGAACTTGCAGCTCCATATCCTGGAGGCTTCAAGTCCCTAAGGGCTCAGTGATAGAACTATCTTGCCATATATCTGATTTCCTTTGTAATTCTTTGTATTTTTGTTTGCACATTTCAAACATTCTTCTAAGAGGGGGAATCCATAGACTATCAGACATGTAAAAGGTCTGTGGAATGCACAAAAATAATGAGAAGACAGTGATAGTTTGTAGAAGGCTTTCTTGGACTGCCAGGCCCCAAATCACAACACAGAAACTTATTATTAATTATGAATGCTCAGTAGCTTAGGCTTGTTTCTAGCTAGCTTTTTAAAAAACTTAAATTAACCCATTTCCATTTATCTATGTGCTGCCCTGAGGCTTGTTTACCTCTTCTATATACTGTCCATCCTACTTTCCTGCTACTTCCATGTCTGTCTGGCCCCTGGCTAGCTTGCTGGCTCCCCCTTTCTCTCTGCCCACCAGCCCACCTAGGCCTTCTCTGCCTAGTTATTGGCCATTCAGCTTTTTATTAGACCATTCAGGTGCCTTAGGCAGGCAAGGTGAAACAGCAACACCTCTTTACATAGTTAAACAAATGCAGCATAAACAAAAGCAACACCTCTTTACATAGTTAAACAAGTGTTCTATTCCATAGCAGTAGCTGTGCTTAGCCTTGACTTCTAGGGATGGGAGAGGTGGATTCTAGGATTTGGAGTGAGAAGAGGGAAAAGGTTTTCCTGCACTTTGTATGTGTGTATGCATAATTTGGGTGGAGGCTAGATGTCAACCTTGGATGTCACTCCACCTTTTTGTTGTTGTTGTTGTATGTGTAGATTCACACACGGGTGCTATGGAATGTATGTGGAGTGCAGGGAAACACTTTGAGTTGGTTCTGTTGGTTCTTGCCATCCATTTTGTTTGAGACAAGGTCTCTGATTCTCAGCTCCATATGCCAGGGTCCTTGGGTTTCTGGGGATTCTCCTGAATCCATCTCCTGTCCTGCACATGAGCTCTGAGGTCACAGGTTCACGCACTGCTTCGCAGTGAAAGCAAGTCCTCATGCTTGCATAGCAAGCACATTACCCACAGGGCCATTTCCCCAGCTCCTCCCCTTCCACCTTTTTCCACCTTCCTTCCTTGTTTGCCTTTTTAATTTTTCTTTTCTTATTTTCTTTTTGAAATAGTATTTCTCTGTGTAACTGCCCTGGCTGTCCTGGAACTCACTCTACACAAGGCTGGTCTCGAACTCACAGAGCTCTGCCTACCTCTGCCTCCTGAGTGCTGGGATTAAAGGCGTGTGCCACCACCACTCAGTCCTTTTCTTTCCTTCCTTCCTTCCTTTTTTTTTTTTTTTTTTTTTTTGAGACAGGGTCTCACTATATAGCTCTGGTGGTTTTGGAACTCACTCTATAGACCAGGCAGGCCTCGAAATCACAGAGGTCCACCACTGCCTCATCTAGCCCTGTTTTGTTTTTTGAGACAGAGTCTTTCACTAGGACCTGGTGTTCACTGGGTAGGCCAAGCTGGATGGCTAATGAGCCCTAGTTGTGTCTGCCTGTCTCTACTTCCCCAGTGCTAGGGCTATAACCATGTGCCACCATGCCTGATTTCTTTTTATGTGGGTGCTGGGAATTGAATTCAGGCCTTCATGAGTGTGTGAAAAATACTTTATGACTAAGCTACCATCATATTTTCAAAACAATCTTTTAAAGATTCCTTTAATAAATTGTTTTATTTTATGTATATGAATGCTTTGTGTGCATATATGTATGCACAGCTTGTATATGACTGGTGCCCATGGAAGAGAGAAGAAGGTGTTGGGTCCCATGGAAATGGAGTTACAGACAGTTGTGAGTTGTCATTTGGTTGCTGGGAATTGTCCTCTGCAGGATAAGCCAGTGCTCTAACTGCTCAGTCATCTTTCTAGTCCCCAAATAAATAACACTTTAAAAATATGTGCATGAACTATTTCTGAAGAGATTTAAATGTATTCCTCATTGTGTGTGAGCACGTGTGCAGGTGTCTATCATCCCCCCCTTTTTTTTTTGAGACAGGATCCATTCATCCACCCATCTCTCACTGCCCTGGAACTCACCAAGTAGAATAGGCTGGGCAGGCCTGAGAGCCCCAGGGATCTGCCTGTCTCCAACATCACAGGGAATGCAAGTATGTACCACTACCCATGTCTCTGAAAATGAGGGTTCTGGGGAGTGAACTTAGATCTTTGTGTCTAACTGATCTCCCCAGTTCAATGTATTTTTGAAACATCCCTCAAATTCTCCAAAGAACCAAGGAGGGAAGAAAAAAAATGTGCTGGGTAGTTTTATGTCAACATGACACAGCTAAGAGTCATTGGAGAGGAGGGAATCTCAACTGAGAAGATGACATGGTAAGATTGGGCTGCAGGCAAACCTGTAGGGCATTGTCTTATTTAGTTATTGATAGGACCAGATCCAGCCCATGGTGGGTGGTGCCATCCCTGGGCTGGTGGTTCTGGGTTCTATAAGAAAGCAGGTTGAGTAAGCCATGAGGAGCAAGCCAGGAAGCAGCTCTCCTCCATGGCCTCTGCATCAGATCTCCCCTCCAGGTTCCTGCCCTGCTTGAGTTCCTGTCCTGGGTTCTTTCAGTGATGGACAAATAAAACCCTTCCTTACCAAGTTGCTTTGGTCATGGTGATTACCCCTAACTAGGACAGAGAGCAAAGGAGAGGGAGTGTTACCTGATCCTTCCTGGGATTTCACCTCAGTCTTGTTTCTGGGTTGCCTTTACGGTTTTGTACCATTTCTCTGAGGACTTGCCTTTCTCTTCAGAAGGTCCTTTCCTGTCTCTCTGATGTCTACATTTGCTTTTGAAGTTGTTTTAGCACACTTGGATGATCTTTTACTAATTTTGCCCTGATTCCTTATCAAGTGATCATAACACATTTACTTCTTAACATACCCATACATGCTTTCCATAGAGACTGCTTTAATTTGCATACTATTGTGAGTCAAAGTGTGCTTTTAAATGAGGAAAACGTTTTTTATAATGTGAAGAAAATTTGGGGGTTGCCTTAAACTTGGACTCTTGAAGGCTTTTAAATCAGAAAAGGCTTGAGGACATTTGATGTCTCTCCATTATTCACAGTACATTTATAAAACGGATTTACGAAACTCTTCCTCTCAGGATTTGAAATGGATGTGCACTCCCTACCATTTTTGTTGCCAAGGGAGCACACATCTGCCCTGGAAAACCTTCCTGTGGAGTAATGTCAGCAAAGACAGATGAATGAGAGTACACACAGTTCTGGAATAATAGTGCAATTTTGCTAAAGGATGACGTCATCTCTTTGCCATTGTATCTGCCATCCTAAGTAGCCCAAAATCCACCCAGGCTGGAGAATGAATTACAAGGACATCACGCTGGCAAGGTGAGATGAAATAAAAAACAGACAGTAAAATTTAATTTAAAAAAGAGGAGAGCTTTGCAAAGATCCAGTTTGCAATATATTTTTCTTAGGTAAGGACTTGATCTAATTACCATATCATAATTTGCCATCATTTTGGATTAGCAGGAAAGATGCAAAGCTTATTCCTAATAACTGGATTGCTATAGGTACACGAGTATACCACCAGACTATAATTAGGCACGATGTAATTGATTTCAGTCTTTAAAGGGCACATTTAAATGCCAGCAAATAAAGATGCCGTTATCAGTTAAACCCACTCACTACTCATGTTCCTCAGGGTGACACCAGGGAAGCGTGCGCTGGGCTTTCTTTGGATACAAAGAAAAGAATGTCATCATCCCAAAAAAGTAGTTTGTGACTCTGTATTGGTTTTGGAGGTCAGTATTAACTCAGTGCTTTTGCTTTGTTCTCTCTCTCTCTCTCTCTCTCTCTCTCTCTCTCTCTCTCGCGTGTGTGTGTGTGTGTGTGTGTGTGTTGTCTCATTTGGGGTCTCATGTAGGTCAGGCTGGCTTCAAACTCTGTATGTAGCCAAGGATGACCTTGAACTTTTGACTCTTCTGTCTACAGTTGCTCTATTGTTGGGACACATGTGTATACCACCAGGCTCATCCTTTCCCCCACATCTCTACTTTATTTTATTTGATACAGGGTCTTCTTACAAAGCCCAGATTGATCTTGAACTCATGGTCTTACCTCAGCCTTCTGCTGGCTGGGGTTAGAGCCATGTGCCGGCATGAGCAGCATTCCACATTATTATTATTGTCATTATTATTATCTTGGTTAGAGTGTAATCAAAGCATGTGTCTCTAACTTTCCTCATTCTCTCCTCATTTCTCCCTCTTTCCTTCTCCCTACCCTGCAGGACTGGGTGTGGAACCTAGGGCCCAACCCCCTTTCAACTTGTTTTTTTTTTTTTTTTTGAGATAAAGTCTCATTAAATTCAGGCTGTCATTGAACTCACTCCATAGCCCAGGCAGGCTGAAGTTGCTACTGTCCTGACTCAGCTGCCTGTGTAGCTGGGAGTGTAGGCTTGAGTCACCAGCATGGCTTTCTCCCTGCCTCCCAGAGTCCAGAAGCAATATGTTCATTTCTGCAGAGGCACGGGTAATGGCTAGAGGCATAAATACTAAGTTAGATTAAATCAAAGCTGGATTATAAAGTCAGGAAGAAGAGGGAGGAAAAAGTAGAGGAAGGAGAGACTACAGAAGTATAATGAGTGGTTGCTTATTGAAAAGTGAATCTGCTCTTTGAATAAAGAGCTTTCATTGTGCCGCATGGCATGAGCAACAAGTCCCAAGGTAAGGAGGCAGGACCAACTGAGACATTAATTAATAGTAATAAAAATTCCAAAAAACATCAGCAACAAACTCACAAGGCAATTTCATTTCCAAGCACGTTTCCATATATCACAGGTAAAACTGTGTTTTCATGAATGCCATTTTTAACATAGGATTTACTTGCAGAAGCTATTTTTGTGGCTAAGGGAACAAATTGTTCACTGAAACAGAACTTTTGCTGATCTGGGTTTCAAAGAATTCTCTTATATGAAAAATTCTGTAAAGCAGATGGGGTCAGAACAGGAGCATTAGGTAATGGAAATGTTCTTTTGGTATATAATATTATACTTTCTGCTTTAAGAGTATTAGTATGCAAGGCACTGAGACAGAAACAGAAAAGAGGAAGTCAGAAGGGATAATATTTTAAATCTGTATGTGCTCTGTATTTTCCAAATAGATCCCATGGAAGCAGCAAATACTATTCTCATTCTGCTGATGGAAAACCCACTTCCAAGAAAGAATAATGGAGAACTCAGAGTGGCTTGTGAAATAAAGCACATGCATGTTTCTATCTTGGTTGCTCTCTGTGTTTTAACTCCTGGAATTGAAAAGCTCAGAACTGACACTTTTGGGAAACCTTGAATGAGGTATCCCACTTGGACCTTCAGGACCCAGATTCTCTTGACATTGCCCAGTTCTGTTGCTCTGTGATGTGTCGACTCGGGTTAGTCAGGCTGCAGATAGTGACTCCTGAGCCAAATGGGTGAAGGTGGGCAGGGCTGTTCTCTTCAGGTTAAAGGGGTACTTTTTATCTGAGTATGGAGAATTGGGTAGGTGTAAACAAGAGGTGACCCATCAGACGTTAACAAGATGATACAATTAGGAAGATTTAAGTCAAGGCTAGAACCCAAAGGAGGCCCTGGGAGCTGGTTTTCTTTAAAAAGAATCCTTACAGGTTTATTTATTTTTATTTATGCATATGTATGTGAGCCCAGGTGAGTATATGTGCACCCTACACATGATGTGCACGCCGGAGTCCACAGATCCCAGAGAGGGCTTTGGATCTCCTGGAACTAATGTTGTAGACAGTTTTTTCTAAACCACTGAGCAGATGATGGGAACCAAACCCAGATCCTCTGCAAGATAGCCAGCTCTCTTAACTGCTGAGCCATCATCTCTCCAGCTTAGGAGCTGCTTTTCAATTGGTGCATAGTTGAGGAGAGAGAGACAACAAAGCTGTATCTAGCAAGTTGTTTGCTTTAGGAGACTTCTCAGTCAAGACTTGGCTGAGAGCATCCTTAGCAGATGGGCTGGTTCATCTTCCTTTGTCTTACGTGTATCACACAGATGGGTATGATGCCAAAGCTCCCTCTAACCGGGCTGCTGGGGCACACTGGTTGCTGGAGCCTACTCTGGCCCAACTCCAAACCTTGACCTTCAGTTTTAGCAGGATTCTTAGAGAGTCTGGTCTGCCTAATTATCCCATCTTCTTGCCCCCTGCTTTCTTGGTCACTCTGATAGAGGTATCTCCTGACACCATTTTTCTTTCACGTTGCTACCTTGCCTGATGATCATCTTTGTTTAGAATGCTAATTCTCATTTTTCAACAGGCAACACACACTCAGGCCAAAATAATCTTCATCCACACAGCATTGGACCAAGATGATGACTCTCAAATGGAAGCCCTAAGATTATGTGCAGTTGCAGAGAAGCTAGTAAACAAGGAGGACCCTAAGAGAGACATACATGGTCCCCTGG